GAGCAGCGGGCGGGTCAGGAGAGGTCTGCCACGCCATGTGGTCACCTCCGGGGCAGGCGGGGATCGAACTCATGTTGAAGTGGCCTTAGCTTCTTAGTGCTGTGCTTTAACCCGCTGCGCCACCAGGGAGGGCCCAAGAAAGGTCTTTTTATACACTTTCAGTATTCAGGTAGGTAGGTGCAAGGCTCGTCTCACCTCGTCACTGCCCACAACAAGCCTCATAAATACCTTTCATTGCTCAGTAAAACAGGTACCTACTAATTCAGAGTGGTCTCCCACTTTGTTTGCCTGTCTCCTTTCCCTCGTGTATGCAGCCTGTTGTAAGCCAATCCCCAAATTCCAAAATTTCTCCTAGCTAGAATTGAAGAACTCTTCCAAAACTTAGGTTTTACAATCCTAGCAAGAATGGGCCCTAGGTTGAGTGCTGTGTAGAATATAGCTCAGAGGATTCTGAGTAAGGTTTTGTTAACTTAATGATATGTAATTGAGAATTATCATATATAATTAACTTAATAGACTGACAAAGCTCGTGACTGTTCACAATATAGCAGCCCTCTGCCATGAACACCTGTACCTTGAAAGCAGTCAATGTTTATTCATAATTTTTTATTATTCATAATAAAACAAACATTTGCTAGCATGACATAACTATATAGATTACCCTGTAATGTTATATGTAAACAATCACACACATACAACCACCATAATCAATGCTTGAATACACAATTTTACTGTAAAATTATCAAATGAATAGCCACTACTTTACCAACTCTAAAACAGAATAACAATTTTAGAAGTTAAATTTCATTAGACTAAGTACATCTGTCAGAATTACAATTCCAATATATTGAACACCAGCGGGGAACACCTAATTTTATATTTCTACACTTCTAAACATTTATACATTTTTTTGTGATAAAATCAAGGCACAGAACTATATTTGCCTTGAAATTCAAGAATTAACATTTTGTCATGATTACCTGGGGAGGTATTAGCAGCCAAAGGGATTAACTAATTAAAAGGAATACTCAATGAAGATATTTACGGAGGAATTCATTTAAAGGTAGACTCATAATTGTGTAAAGTGGATTAGATACATTCTATGGATTCTTATCTTTTACTTCCCTAGCCACTGCAATGTTCCTCAACATGAAAACCATAGTTACAGAGATGGAAGCTACTCATTTGCTCCAAGTGTGACCTTTGCTCATCAAAGGTCATCTGTCTACCACCATCACTGAGTGTTTCCTGCCAATAACTGAAACCAATTTGTAACCATAACTTATAGGATTGAGCTACCTATGGGTAGTACAATGATTACATTGGATTTTTTTAATCATGGAAGAGGCAGTGATATGTACCACTGGAGCCTAAAACACAAAGTCCTTAAAATTGTTGATAGGGGGCCTCGTTGGTGTGCAGGGTTTAAAAGTCTCAGTGATATCCCCCCATGTTTATTGCTGCATTATTTAGTTAGTAAGATATGGAAACAGCCCAAATGCCCAAAAGAGGATGACTGGATTAAAAAGATGTGGTACGTATACACAATGGAATATTACTCAGCAACCAAAAAAAAGCAAACACGTGACTTTTGCAGCAACATGTATGGAGTTGGAAAAGATCATGCTCAGTAAAATAAGCCAGAAAGAAAAGAAAAAAATATCAAATGGTTTCACTCATAACAGGAGTATAACGGACAGGTGAGAAAATAATAATAATGAACAGTTACATAGCAGAGACAACTTATGGGGTGGAGTGAGGAATGGGATCAAAAACAGTGGGGGGAGGGAAATGCACTGGATTTTCATAACAGGAGTATAACAGACCAGGTGAGAAAATAATAATAATGAACAGTTATATACCAGAGACAACTTATGGGGTGGAGTGAGGAATGGGATCAAAAACAGTGGGGGGAGGGAAATGCACTGGATTTTGGTGATGGCACATGGGTGATTTGGTGATGGGAAGCCTAGGGGGATTACTGATAGGGAAAAATGCACAAAATTATGTAAAAATAAACTATTATTTAAAAAAAAGTCTCAGTGCTATCAAGGTATTGCCAGCCACTGTGGCATGAGTTTGATCCTGGGTCAGGGAGCTAACCCACATGGCAAAACAGACTGCTCCCCTGCGAAACACAAGGGAATATGGTGGCGGTTCACAGATGATATGATAGTGGGAGAACTATGGGGGCTGGAATGATGTAAGAAAAAAATAACCTGGTGTGTGTTCACTAAGCTATCACTCACTGGGGCTTACCTGGACCAAAATTATGTGCCTCTCTACTAGTCAATAATCTATGAGTAAGACAGTCACTTTACATATTCAGTATAATATAAACTTTTAAATAGTGATTTATGTTAAGTATGTTCTCCTAATTCTTGGGTGGTCTTTGCCCTCATATGTTGAAAGGCTAACCTTCAAACCATTTGCCTCCCAGTTTTGTATCTTTTATAAATTTATTGACCTTTTAAATTTTATTTATGAATTGTCCAATCATTCTATTTTTGCCACTGTCTATACAATTTGAATTGGCAGAAGTATATGTCTATACTTATTAATTCATAATCTTGTTAAAGATGTGTTTTTATATTCATGTTTTCATCTATAGTATATTTAAAATCGAAGAAATTGATTTTTATTTTTGTCTTTTGAATGCAATAATTTTAGTGTACAGAATTTTGTGTCCTCTTACTTGTGGGCTATGTTAAAAATCATCTTAGTTTTACAGATTTTTACTATACTCATAATTGTTCTATAGTAAACTTTAGAATTTGTATATTAGAAAATTTTTTTCTCTTTAGGGAGTCTTATGGATTATATAATAAAATAAACAGGATATGAAATAAAATGTTGAATCATAGTTTTTTTTTTATGAGAAAATATACACCTATTTGTTCTCTCCCTCAAATCCTCTGAAACTGTTCTCTTGACCTATGATCTTAGTCTGAGAATCCCAGAACTCTTCTGCATCACTTGGCTATAATTTCTATACAGGTAATTAGTCTCCTCTCAAAATGGCATTAGTGAATGTAGCTTTCTGTCCTGGGGGAGAGGTGGGTGGAAAGGTGTGGGCAATGCTTGTTGACAGGAGAAAATTTAGTGTGTGGATTCGCACTCCCTGACATTGCTGCCGTAAGAGCTTTTGCTGATGGTGGTAAAGAGGGGTGGAAGAGTGGGCTAACAATATTCTCCCATGTAAGAATTTTCTTAGGTTCCAAAGTAACAGACAAAAAACGAGATAAACTGGTGACCAGGAGCAAATATTATAAAGGTAGGAAGAGTTAGGTAATTGTTTATTTAATGACAAGGAAAATTAAAATTAAAGTAAGTATAATTACGGTGATGATGTTGGCATTTTTACTTTTTTGGTTATGTATAGACCTCCATTAAATTTATATTATGTCTTTATGTATTAATCCTTTAAGCAAGTCTTCCTTTTCACGACTTCAAATTTTGGATGAATTCCAAAATTTGTGTGTAGTTAGAATCTTTCTTGTCTCTTGACCGTTGCTTCTGTTTAAGAATAAATTACCACCTTACTTTTGCTGATTTTTTTTTTTGGCAAAGAACCTGGTTTATTTTGCTTCTTCTCTACTCCTACTAGCAACCATCTGTCTCCTTTTCTCTTGCTGCAGTAACATTTGCTTAAATTTTTTTTTCTGTGAAATCATGGATTCTATGTGTGTCTATCTTAAATGTAATGTATATTCACCTGAGTAGAGTGGAATCCTTTTTTTCACCCAGCTTTATTGAGATATAATTGATATATAACACTGGGTATGTTTAAGGTGTGCATTATTTTGTATTGCATGTTTAAAGTTCCTATTTGGAATAATTCTCTGGACCTTAGTTAGACTCCTTATTTACAAATGAAAGTCATCCTATTAATGGACATATTCACCTTATAATTATTTGTACTACCAAATAGATAATTATAAAGCAGAAAATATGAAAATACTTAGTAATATGGGTGATAGAGGTAATGTATAGTTTCCCAGGACTAAAACTCCCTCATTATTACATAAACTTTTAAAATGGGGTGTAAGAACCCCTACATTTTCTCATTTACTTTAAAAAAAATAGCATGAAATACAACCACACCTGTCATGAAGCTTGGAAGGTAGAAGTTTCCTAGTATGTTGGCTGCTATTGGAACTGTTCTGTGCTTTTTTTCTTTATTGTAACTTTACTTAAGTAGCCCTCTCCTATATATGTTCCAGTCTCTTCTTTTTTTCAAATTCACCTTTTAGCAGAATATTTGGTACTGTGTAAGCAGGGTGCTGAGACACAGGTATATTTGTTATGGAATAGAAATATATCTTCTTTACGGTAACAGGGTATTCCCTACAAAAATGGATAATAACTACAAAGATTCATATAGTCACCCAGATTTAGCTTTAGAGAACACTCACAATTGGTATTATCTCCCATGTATATGGGACGGTTGAAAAAAGACAGAGATAAAAGGGATAGAACAGCTTAAAGGAGTTGAAAGATAGGATAGTCAATGGTATATGAGCACAGTGGCCTTATGTATGTTTATCATTAGCCAATGACTTATGTTTCAAAAAGTTAAAACCAAACTCTAAAAATGTCTGAGATTGGGAGGAATCTGAAAAGATTAAGTAAATTGATTTCTTTAAAATTTTTATTTTCCAAAACAAAGCCCTGTTCCCTGCTTTGCACATCTTGACCATATCCTATTTGCTACCCAACCTGTAAGTTATTATCACTCATATTTATGTAAATATCAGTGGAAATACCCTGGGCCCATCAATATCTATTCCATTCTTGCCTTGTGTTGTCATATTCTGAGCTATTTCTAAGCCCTTTACCAGGTTCTCTTCTGCTCATCTGTTCCCTGAATTTGTGTGAACTGAAAATGTGATTGTGGTTAACAGTGTCAGAATGACTACAGAGACAAACTGTTCCTGAGATGATGTAAAGCTAAGTCATGGGAAAATTCAGCTAACGGAAGAACAATTTAAAACTGGAATCAGTGATTTCTGGGGCATAACGCCTATACCTGGCTTTTCTTTTTGTTGCACTGTTACATTTACATACCAATCCTTGTGTACAATAGGCTATATTCTCTTCCCCCATACTCCATTTTCTCTTAGGTGACATTGGTTAGAACATTGTGTATGATTCAGAATCTGTCATTTTCCCAAATATGTTCGATCCTCTTGTTACTACTGAATAGCCCTAGAGACTATGGTCACAGGGAAACTGCATGTGGACATGACTCACCTGCTCTCGACTGTAACAAGTAAATGCCTTCTAGTGATTCTAGGATACTCAACAATTGAATAAATACAATCTTCAAAGTGTGGAAATTCTTGAATAATTAATCATTATAAAGAAAAAGGTTATTCATATACTTATTTTATTATTTTTTTCATTATCTTTTTTGGAAACATTCCAGCTTATATATCAATGGATGGAACAAATCACTCTACAGTGTCAGAATTTGTGTTCCTCGGAATCACCAACATCTGGGAGATCCAACTTATCCTCTTTGTGTTTGCTTCCTTCATTTATGTGGCAAACATGATGGGAAACTCCCTCATTATGCTCACTGTGGTTTATGACCATCACTTACACTCTCCAATGTACTTTCTTTTGGCTAACCTCTCCTTCATTGACATGGGGCTTTCTTCTGCCACTTCTCCCAAGATGATTTATGACCTTTTCAGAAAACACAAAGTCATCTCCTTTAATGGCTGCATTACTCAAATATTCTTCGTCCATGTAATTGTTGGTGCAGAGATGGTGCTGCTCATCGCCATGGCCTTTGACAGATATGTGGCCATATGTAAGCCCCTCCACTACCTGACTATCATGAACCCACAAGTATGCATCTTATTTGTAGTGGCTGCATGGATGCTTGGCATTATCCACTCCGTGGCTCAGTTGGCACTTGTGGTAAAGTTACCCTTCTGTGGTCCCAATGTGCTGGACAGCTTCTACTGTGACCTTCCTCGGCTGATCAAACTTGCCTGCACAGACACCTACCAGCTGGAGTTCATGGTGACAGCAATCAGTGGTATCATCTCTGATGTCTCCTTCATCATACTGCTCATTTCTTATGCTGTTATCATCCTCACTGTTCACAAGCACTCTTCAGGTGGTTCATCCAAGGCTCTGTCCACACTTTCATCTCACATCACGGTAGTAGTTTTGTTCTTTGGTCCAGTGATACTTTTCTATGCATGGCCATCTCCCACCATAAACTTAGACAAATTTCTGTCCATCTTTGATGCTGTTCTCACTCCTTTCCTGAATCCTATCATTTATACATTCAGGAATAAAGAAATGAAGGTAGCAATGAAGAGAGTATGCAGTCGTATAGGGAATTTCAGGAAGATCTCTAAGTGACACATGATGAACAACCCTTGTCTATTATTAGTTCATTATTGATGTTAAAACTCATTTACTTTTCCTTGTCCTATCTTGATTTGGTTATACATTCATACTAAGTTTGTTTATTCTTTCACTTAGCAGAGAGGGACATCACTTTTGATTAAGATGGAAATAATTCTATATGGATTAGTTATAGTCTCAGATCATGCTAATCTTTAGTCTTAATTCCTAAGGAATAATATTTGCAATAATTATTAGAAGTACAAATACAGCATCTGTTTTACAGACAAGGTTTCTTATCAGTATTCAGTGGGTGATAGGCTAAGGTAGACTGAACTGTCTTCAAGGTTATGCTGTGGATTGCTCATACTGTTGTCTTCATTTGGGTCTTTGCCGTGGTTGTGCAAGCACAGCAGATTTTAACACCCTACCATGGGTTCACTTGTTTGTGTAAAATACATGTGACCAGTCCTTAGACAAAGAACTGAAAACACCAGGATTATTTCCTGGTAAGTATGACACTCAAATCCATTAATTTTTCATTTTCCCTTTCCTATTATTTTATCACCATATAAAGTTTACTGAGGCAAGTAGGTTTACAACATTGTATCCAATTTGTGAGTTACATATGTCTATTTTCATACCAACCTAGACCAGTACCCCAATAACTTCCACTGTGTTCCCTCACCCACTGTTTCATACCACCTTGCCACTCTTACTGCTTCAGTTTTACAGTTAGATGTTAGGAGTTTATAATTGGTTTGGTTTTAAATGACCCTTTGGAGTGTTTTTCCATATTCCTATAAAATTGAGACTATTTGGTTTTTCTTTTTCTCCTTCTGACTTAATTTAGTTAGCATTATTTTCTCCAGTGTCATCCATGTTTTTGCAGATGTTAAAGTTCATTACTTTTTTATGTTGAGTTGTATTCTGTTGTGCATATTTATCACATATACTGTTCAAAACTTCACTCCTAGGATACTTTGTCTGTTTCATTAACTTAACTATTGCAAATAGGTCTGAACTAATATTTATCAAGTTGACTGAGTGTTTTGTATTCTCTGGGCAGATACTTAGGAAGGGAATAGTGGAGTAATATATGGTAATCCATATTAATATTTTGAGACACCTTCATGGTGATTTCCATAGGGTCTGCACAGCATGTATTCCTATTAACAGAGAAATAGAGTTTGTTTTGCTAAACAAAGTTCATAACGCTGTTTCTGGTCTTTTTGATCTGGGCCATTCTGATGGGGGAGTGATTTCATTGTGGTCTTGCATTGTATTTCCCTAGTAATAAATAATGAAGAAAAGTTTTTTATTCATGTGTCTATTGGTCATCTGAATGTCTCTTCAAAGAACTAAATTTTAGCTTTCCTGACCATTTTTAAATTTATATATCCATTTACATTATTGTTCATTTTACAACAGTGTTTACTTCCCCCTCACCCTTCATGACCATAGCCCCTCATATATTTCTCCCCCTTCTTCAATCTTTTAGTTTTAAGAATTATTTAGATATTTTGATATCAACCTTTGTCAGCTGTGGTATGTGTAAACTTTACTGCTTTCTTTTAATAGGATGACTTTTTGTTTTACTATGGTATCATTTGTGGTGCAGAATCTTTTTGATTGATAGTCTCATGCTTGCTATTCAGGAAATTAATTTCTGCAAATAGGTTATCCTTTTTCTGATAATGGTGGCTGACCATCACAAGATTTTTGTTTTGACTCCTGTACCTTTTTCCTGACTGAATAACCACCTATGTTCTATTTTATAAAAATAGTGAGTTTTGGGCACTCCCTGGTGGCACAGCAGGTTAAAGCACAGCACTAAGAGGCTAAACCCACTTCAGCATGAGTCAGTCCCCACCCCAGAGGTGACCCACATGGAGTGGCAGACCTCTTCTGACATGCCTGCTGCTCCCCTCAGCACTGTACTTCATCGATCTGCCTGTTCTGCTCCCCACTCTGTCTCTGGTGAATCCTCTCACTGCCCCTATACCTCTGGCCTGTCCCCAGTTCTGTATGCATAAATAAGTGAATCTTTAAAAAAACAGCAAGTTTTAATTTGCTTTAAAAATACTCAGTCATACAGAGTTGTACATTAAAAATTATTTGGCTACATGGAAAGTTACATACATTTACCTATGTATCAGGATTTCTAGAATATCTAAACTGCTATCTTCTGAATATGCAGTCTTCTTTTCATATATAAATTAGACAAGATCTTCCTTCACTTAACTGCTGCAGTAAGACTGTTGTAGCTTCGGTTGAATGATTTTAGTCATAATATTTTTGTCTGAGATGTGTTATATTTGTACCATATTCTGCTACTGGAAGTAGGGATTTTTATCAAAACATACTGAAATTTGAATTCATGACCATTTTAAATGAAGAGCATCTGAGACCCATTCTAATTAGAAATATGGTCCAAATGACACTAAACCTTATACATCTTATAGTTGTTTAAATATATAACTATATGTGTAATTGACTAGTGTTTGACAGAATTTCTGTGTCTCATAACTGGTTGTTAGTTATTCATAATTTCCCTTACATGGTATGTTTTTTCTTTTGCTTTCCATCATCCATATATACATTTTTTTAATTCCTTGCTGGACAATTACAAATCAGTTCATATATTATCAGATTACTAGCTACAACTTTTGTATTCAACCTCCCTTTAATTTGTCTGTTAGTGGTATTTTAAAATATAAAGTTTCACCGTGATTTCTCCTGGATTGATTAAATGTTATTGACATAGGAGGGTCCTCCAGGTTGCCCACTGTACATGTGTGATGATTCAGAAAAATGCCTACTTTTCCCACTCATCTCTTGTTTTTTATCTTGTCACATCTACATTTATGACAAAATTGTTTCCCATCCTCACAGTGAATGATTATCTCTATCAACAAATTCAACTTTTATTAAAAGAAGCTTTTTTTTTTTTTCTGAAAGAGAACTGTTGTAGAACTTCTAATGGGGTTTCTATCTAAAAGAAGAGCTCTTTCTATGGGCACATATCTTTCTCTTGCAGTAACTATGTAGTGTTATAGAAGATAACTTGTAAATACCACCTCTGGGGACTCAAGTGGTGCTAGAAATGTATTTTAGGGTGTTAGCATGAACTTTACACCCGTGAGGGAGATTCAGCATTGCTACAATGCAATATCTTTAGCATAGACAAGGGATGGGGTGTACTAATGAGGACATAGGAAAGGACTTGAATTTTTATCTCACTGAAATTTTACTAGGATTGAAAGGAATTTCATAATTTAAGATGTTGAAGTCAACACTATTTACTCTGTTTTATTTGTCTGTTTTCAGAAAAGTTATAAAAGGATGACATTCACTAGAGACTAGTTCTTCATGGTAGTTCTTAGGAGTAAAACATACTATGCACAGAATCTGGAGAAGGAATGACTGGTATAGAGTATTCCTGAGAATGCACTGACTCCACCTGTATGTCTAACTGCATACCTATCATTGTTGACTGTGATGCTAAAAAAAAAAAAAAAAAAACACCTATTGTGTTATTAAAGGGGAATTAGTCCTGTTATCTTTGTTCGATCTTTAGTTATTGTCTTTTCCCTCCCTAGTGTTGGACATTACAATATCAAATAGCTGTAGATAAGGAACGAGAATACAGCAAATTCAGGAACCCAGAGATGGCAATTGTAGTTAAGAAGAATGGTGAAAGGACAATATGGTTAGTTAATTCAAATACAGAAAGGGATCATTTAACAGGGTTTTTGATATGATGTATATTTTCTATTCACAGAAAAAACAGACAAGTGGACTTGGGTTGAAATAAAGAACTGAAAAGCTGACTAGGCAGCAGGAAAGAAGGTTTGGACTATCAAATTGATAAAGTAGGAATGTGAAACAGGAGAAGTAATTTATTCTCAAGTACTGTGTCTTTATTTATTCTCAAGTACTGATGATTTAAACCTGCCATCTTTTTCTGCCTATCATAAAATGCTATTTGTTCAGAATGCTATGTAGCCTGTAAATATAATAAATGTATATCATATAACTATTTTTAAATAAAATTTTACTTCTTTCACATTGATTTATATTGTATAAATTTTGTGGGTACAACTCATACCTGTTTATGTGAGTATGTCTCATTTCAGCCACTGACAAAGTTCCAGAGTCATTCCCACTTTCAAATTGACCCTCTCCACCCTTCTTTGTCAGTCCCTGTCCTTTCTCCCTCTGGTAACCATCATACTTTTCACATAATCTGTGTTGAGTTTGTTTTTTCCTTTGGTAATTTGTAACCCAAACATGTGAGAAATCATCCAGTAATTTTCATTTACTTTTTGAATAAATTACTTATCATAATCACCACAATTAGGTTCTGTTCATGTAGTTGTGAATGGCAAAGTTTCATCATTTTGAAAAGTTCAGTAGGATTCTATTTAGTATATATATCTTAACTTCTTTATCCAGTTATCCATCACTGACATTTAGGTTGTTTCTATGTGTTGGCTATTTTGAATAATTTTGCATGTGAATATAAAGAAGTATAGATTTATTTTTTTTTGAATTAGTGTTTTCCTCTCTTTTGGTTAAGTACCATGGTGTGGTATTTCTGGTTCCTAAGGAACTTTCACTTACATATTTTAAGGTATCTACATGCTATTTTCCACCTTTCCATCTTAACATTTTCACCAACAGGAAGTGAGTTTTTTTTTTACAACGTTCCCAACACATGTTATTTCCAGTCTTTTTGACACACCATACTCACAGATCTAATAGTAGTTTTGACATACATTTTCCTAAAAATAAATGAAGTTGAGCATATTTTCTCGAATGCCTGTTGGCCATCTGTATCTCATCTTTTGAGTAATAGAGAGTAGTAGACATTTTTTTTTTAACTTACATTTTGGTTGGGTTTCTTGCTTTTAAATGTGTGGGTCCTTTTTACATTTTGGTTATTAACAGCTTGTCATATATAATATGGTGTGCAAATACCTTCTATTAGTCAGTAGGTTTTCTCTTCATTT